GCGACGAGTGAGGGGGCGGGGGGGGAGGAGCCGGCTCAGTTCATTGTTTAAGGACATCGGGGGGCACGGCATGTTGGGTTTTTTGCTAATTATGACCTGACGGCGAGCGTAGCGCCTTGCTGCCGTAGCCTGCTAGAGCTGTGCCCAAACCCGCTGGAGCTGCCAACGGGCTGCCCGGCGTGCCGCTCCGGGTACCAGCTCGGCTGGAAACGCTTGTCTGGTGCCTTCTGCAGGCCAGACCTGACACACTTCAAAAGGAGATACTTAATAATTATGGGCTTTAAAGTTTCTGCTTACGGGCTTTATATCAGCCCAACCAGCCGTCCCGGCTGATGCGCCCTTTCACAGACAATGCAGCAGCCCCTGCTCCCGCCTAAACGAGGAAAAAGCGGCTCATTAATTCAGCTGGCGGGACCCCAGAGTTGCCCACAGCCGCCCCGGTGAGGGGACGGCCATCCCACCGCTGGCCACAGGGCTGTCCCCCTCCCCACCGCCCATCCCGGTAACTGCAGCATCCCTGTGGACCGGGGGTGGACACTGGCATTTGCTGACCCCCCCCGGGCCACTTCCAGCTGGGTACGACATCACTAACAGTCCTTAAAATCTGCAGGTTACAAGTAAGTCGCTTCTGGTTTGTTGTCAAGTCATTGGAAAAGTAATTCTTTAATGCCGCGTGGGTCTGCAATCTCACTAATTACGGGCAACAGCGATTTGCTTAACAAAGCTGCATGCTGGTTTTCGGATCGCGCTGTTTTACCTGTGTGTGTTAGCATGAATGTGGTTGGACCTCTTTGGTGGCTGTCAGTCTCCCAAACAGAAAAACTGCAACTGAAGTTGTTTCCCTTTTTTTAGTAAAACAGTTTGATTTTTTTTTCCCCTCTTGTACGGTAAACATGTCAGAGTACAGAGGGCTCCCCCAGGATCCCTCAAACTGAGCAGAGAATTTCACTCTTTGACCAAATTGGATGACTGGGGGGAGCGGGAGCGTAGTGCAGACAAAGTTCCTGAAACTGTGTTATTTTTATTGCATAATCAGCCAGTACCCAAAAAGACAAAAAAACCCCTGCTGCCTCCGTTTGTGCCCTCGTGCTCAATTCCTGTCCTGGTCCTGCCCCTCCCGTGGTCACGCCAGGGACTTGACAATCCCTTCGGATCAATTCTGGTACCAAACACGGAATGTTATTGCTCTGCTAAGAGCTACATCAATTTAAACTGCCATCTCTCACCACTTACAACACCTCTTATTTCCATTTTTCACCTAAAGAAAAAGGCCTGTTTGTTCTTGAAAACTTGGGCACTTGGGCCTCAGCAACATCCCGATTTTTCAAGTAACAGGATACGAGGTACACGCCTGGGTGTCCGGATTTGTCTGCACTAACGCTTCTCCAAAGAACGATTTTGTATTTGACTTGCAGATTGGCAGCCTCTTAATTTCCCCAATAACTGCAAAGAACCCCATAGCCCTTTTTACATATATATTTATTTAACACTGTCCATTTACTAACCCTGGTTTAAAAATAAAGAAGGGTAAACCCAAAGCTTATTTTTGCAACTGGGGGAATGAGAAGATGATGGTCTTGGAAAGGTAACTGTAGGGTTCAGCACACCGAGTCACTGGTGACCAGAGCAGCTCTCAGAAATACCTATTCATGCTGGCAACACAGTCTTTCAAGTCCTTTGATAATTTCTTGCCAAAATTAATAATCATCTGTTCCCATGTATAGAGCACTGATGAACTTAACAATTGTACAATTTTAGGGACCTTTGATTGCAACGGCTTTTACAAATGGATACCATTGAAACGTTACACATGGTTGGTTGCCATCTCACTTGGAGGTATTACAGTATATACCATTTGTACTTTGTGCTAAACTACCATCTCCCCTATATTTACTTTAAGCGAACAATTTTTCATCTTCATTTCGTCTTTCCTTGGCCTTTAATCATTCTTTTCTGTGATTTATGTTATTCAAATCAATCTCACGGGTTGGAAACTGGAAGGCAGATCGGGAGCTAAACCCCCAAAAAGTCACGTTTTCATATTCATGACACTTCATGCAATAATTTGGAGAGTCAAAAAGCCCGCAGAAAACCCAGCGATCCCAGAACCCTGTGGGGAAACGACCAAGGGCCAGCTGACAGCATCCCGATGGGGGTTATAGATCCGCTACCAGTGCACTGGTCTAAAAATAGACGAGCCCCACTGCTTTATTACAGAGAAGCCATCATTCTTAATTAAGTGCTGTACCAAATATTACAGCTAAAAGATAACATTGTAACTAGTAACCATAGAGCAATTATCAAGATTAAAAAAAAATTAAACCTAAGCAAATTAAATTAAAGACATTACCTGAGTAATGCATCCTTGGATCGCTGCCAGTTTCCTACCCTTTGAACTAAGCTCAAGTTAATTAAATGTTTAATTATTTTTTTTTATTTTTTTGGCCTTTGGCATATTCACCTTTGCAAACAAATATTCTTACACCGAGAATAGAGTAGATTAGAAAAGTAAGTCAATGAAAAACAGATGTTGCCCCCATTAAATGGCACAGGCTTACCTCTAGAGCTCTTAGTCCATGCAGAGAAATGTAATGGATGTGACAGGCTTTATTTCTCTGCCTTTTGCCCAGCACTACCTGATCAATGTCACATGTTTTATGTTCAAAATCGATGTATGAAATTAGAATTATAGTTAGTCAAGGGACTGGGAACTGTGGAAAACGTTTGGAGGCTTTAAATTATATAAAAATAGATTTTTACCTGAATACTAGTGGATAAAGGGGTTTTCTATTTACCCTTCATCTGCCCACGTACACCCAAGATTACCTGAAATTGTTCCGTCAATTGATTTGCTCCACCAAGTCGTATTTTTTATGGAAAAGAAAAAAGTGGCATAAGCACTCTTGCTTTAATCCCAGTTATTATTTGCACGTATCAGTGTATGTTCACAGATCAATCTGTCAGAATCCTTCATGTTTTCTGGGCCGTCAGCCTTTGTACTAACGAGGTGGTACACGGTGCCGGCTGGAGACCTAAGCAGAACATCATAATTCACGCTAATAACGCTGCAGTGAAGGCAGCGCTCATCAGATTAATGTATTGCAATCATTTTACACTTACCACAACACATCAAACTGTAACCATCATTTACTGGCCAGTATTAAAACTCAAACCATTAATGACTTAAAAACAGAAAGTGCTTTTAATGTTGCTCATTACTAATTAAAATAGATTTTGAGAGGAGGAAATGAGCCTTATTATTAATTCCTCAAGGACCACTGAGTTTGAAATTTTTATTGCGGCGGCACATCCCGAGGCGCCTGGTCCCTCGCCCGCCCCGGCTGCCCCCGCTCCCTGGGGCAGGATGCGGCCGTAGAGGATGAATTCGGCTGAGCTGCGGGTCCCCGGGGCAGGGACCGGCCGTTCCCGCAGACCTGCGGGGTGCTGGTGGGACCTCACCCTGGGCACAGCCATTTGGGGATGGGTTTTGGAGGTCACCCCCAAAAATCTGTGATCAGGGTGCATTCCTTGCAGCAAGCGGCTGCCTGCAGAACCAGTCCCCTAGTACTTATTTCCATCTCAACATTAAGCACCGGCAGGAACAGAGCATTAGAAGCTGAAGCCTCCGTTATAAAATAAATCATCACCACTGCGGTGTGCCCGTGTAAAAGTTGTTACCTTTCAAGTACTTTAGAAAAAACTCATTTTACCGAAGCCTTGTAAATTCCTGGCGTAACAGATGCCTGAGGAACAGTTTTTGTCCTTCCGATGATATATCAGGTTGCATTTTATTGTTCCTAAACCAGACTAGCACACAGCTAACCCCAGCCTGCCTGGGAAGGTGCTGCCTGCCTGCAGTCCAGGCTTAGCCGGCAGGCTGCTTTCCACGGGGATGGAGCTGGAAAGTGAGAGCAGTAGATGCATTAAATACACTCTCCCACGGCAGCAGTCCCAGGAACGCCTCTGCATTTCGGCCGGGTCGCTCCGGATTCACCCTTGGTGTGGATCAGAGCACGCTGCGGCTTTGCAAAGCGTTTTGCAAACACTTTGGGGGTGGGGGGGGGTTGTTAAAAATCCCAGTTGACCTCAATTAACTCTCGCTCTCCTCCGTGTCCTGTTTCTGCCGTCTCCTCCCTGCAGAGTCTCTCTGGATGTCCGGGCAAGACGGGGCGAAGTTTCTGAACGGGCCCATGTTTGGGTGATCTCATCAGACTTTGAGCACTACATCATCACCGATAACGCAAACAAACTGGAGGTGGCACTCGACGGACTTAGGTTGTTTAAAATCTCTCTCATCATCTCATGAATCTGCTGTACTATAAAAACAACAGCTTTTAAAAGTATGTATATAAAATCCATTTCTGGTTCGTTTTATTTTCTTGATGGGTTCCCCCCCCTCTTTTTAAACCTCTCCAAACCACATTTTTTCGTAGCATTTTGACATAGTCTTGTAGCCACGTAGTTCTAATTCTTTGTGTATCTAGCAAGAGCCTAACCATAGTGTAACTGTTTATATTAAGGGGTTTCTTTCGTTTTTCTTTCCCCCCTCCCCTCCTTCTCCCTTCTGTTTTACGTAGTCGTTGTTGCTTAAAGGATGCTGAGATGGTGACAGGAGTCTCAGCCGCTGGTCCCGCCTCTGCAGCCGCCGAGGGTGGCGGGGGGAGCAGAGCTGGCGGCGGGCACGGTTTCAGGGTGGCCTTGCAGGGCGCGGGGGGCGCGGGTGAGCAGCAGGTTCTCTAGCCCTTCTTTTCGTTTGTGGCGTCTTCGTTAACCTAATTCTATCTATTTTCGGCAATAAGGCAAGGACTACAAACTTTTTGTGCGTCCTTTTTCTATAAGTGCTTTTTTTTGTTGAAAGAGGTGATATAAGGTTTTTTGAAATTGTGAATTCTGAAAAAAAAAAAAAATACTGTAAATACAATTCCATTAACTACATATAAACTATTAAGAAAGAGAAATACAAACCTATTTTTGTGATGGAGTCAGCCTAAGGCAGTTTCTCTATGAAAATGGAAGAAAAAAGAAAGAAAGTTTTAGACTTTTCGACCAACTGCCGGAGCTGGCCCGCGGGGGTTAGGTGATGCACACACTGTTCGGCTTGCTCCGTAGGCGTGGTAGACCTTCCAGCTCTCCTAGCGTCATACCAGCATCTTCGCTATCAGACGTGCACAGCTTACAAAGGAACAGTCTAGTGGTATTTTTTTAATTTAAAAACCTGCTTTTCCCAAGACTGAAAAAGAAGCTACGATTCTCCTATTTAACGCATTTACGGTTCAAAGCACACCTTTATTTTTTTTTTTCAGTCGTTGTTTTAAACTAGATCAACTTGCTGTCCAGTCATTTCAGCTGCTCCGGGCACCCTGCGCGGCCCGGGCGGAGGCGAGGTCCCTCCTCCGCGCTCGCCTGCCGCAGGCGGAGCGGCTTTAAAGCTTGCATGGTTACCTTTTTTATCCATTACTTTCTGTGTTAACAAATTAGGAAAGCAACTTTGGTTTGTTTTTTTTTTTTTTGGGAATACCTCAGTGCTACAAGTTTCACCCTAGAAGCAACGGAAGATTTTAATTTATTGTAGTTGTAAACAGAATTTTAAAAAAAAATAAAGTATAAAACATCATTGCACTGTGACTGGTAGGGGAAAAACTGACAGTTTCCTATTTGCACATGTTTAATATTTGGCTGTTATATATATGGTCCTCTGTTGGGGGAGGAAACTTATGAAGGATATTTTTTAATTTAATTTTTTTAATATTGGTAAATAGGCCTGCAACAGCAAACTAGAAGTACAACATGGTAGGTGGCATTAAGAACATACTGTAGTGTGGATATATTTCTTCTTTTTTTAACGTAATATTGACAAGTTTTATTAATATTTTTTTAAATTGTTACGTTTATAAATTTGGTACTTTAGGTACAGCCAGTATAAGACACTGAATGCGACATTTGTTAAAAAGAGCTGCTGCACTCCTATTTTTGTAAATTTTACTAACGAGTAGACTAATGTAGACATTCAATAGACAAGGTAGAGCAAGGCATCTTTAACAAAAACAAGGCACCATACTGCTAACCGAAAGGAGAAAACCTTGTTTTTCTTGTTTTTAAAAAAGAATCATGCTTTTTATGTAATATTTTAGGTTTTTTTCTTATTTCAGAACAACCAGGTTTAAGCAAAATGCTGGACGCTTTTTAAATATTGAGACTTGATCAAGTAATAAAATAAATAAAACAATTCTTTAAAAAATAAAAACGAAAAAAAACAACAAACCAAATTCCCTGAAATTCAATGTACCGTCAGGGAATTTTTTATTGATATTTTGTCAATGTTGATGATGTACTGTACTACCAGTTGGTTTTCCTCTCCATTCCCTGTCACCTCATAGAATATTCTTTGTTGATCATTGTTGTATGTTAATAGTGTATAAAATGGCTATCTTGTAAGAGTGCTGTCCTGATGCTAGTGTAGTGAATTTTTCCCCCCCTCTTTCTCTCTTCCTCTTCTAGTACATATTGGTAGGTGTATCGTAATTAAGGTTAAAAATTTAGATGTAGTTATTCAGATTTAGGACCAGTAAGGATAGAACTTTCTCTTATTTAAGAAAAAAAATGCTAATAATTTTGGGAAGGTTTTCCTTTTTTTTTCTTCTTTCCTCTTTTCTTTGGGTTTTTTTTCTCTTGTTTTTTTTCTTTTGCTGATCTGATGCGGTTTCAACTAACCAAAGGTCTCACAATGTTAAAAATGCTGGCAAACTCCTAAGGCATTTGTAGATCCCCACCCTTGACTTTGAAAAGGGGATGTGCCATACTACCTTAAATGCTAATGCTAGATATGCAAAACTGGATTTTTTTAATTTATTTTTTAAAAGAGGGAGGCACGGTATATTAAAACGATTTTACTAAGAGAAAAAAAAATATTTTTTTAAGAATGCTCAGAAGAAATTGCTAATCTGTGTGAATATGTTTTAGATGTTTATATACCTTTTGAGAAGTCCCAGTGGCCCATAGCACAAATGTCGTGGAATCCGATATGTTTTGATGTGGCTACCTAGACTAAGGTTCACGTTAGTCCCCCACTCATCTAGAAGTCCATTTCGAAGGGTTGGGTTTTTTCCTTTGTTGTTTGTTTGGGGGTTTTTTGTAAATTTTTCAGCACAAAGGTTCAGCTCCACCTTTGTTTTAGTCAAGCACAGCGAGCGAAGGATCGTTCGGAGGGATATTGCCCTTTTCTTTCCAAATATCTCATACGGACCCGCTACCCCCGGAGTGACCAAAAAGAGAGAGATTTCCATCCAGGTGTGCGAAATGGGCACCCAAAGCGCCTCCCCAGCGCGGGCAGCGGCGCAGGCGGGTTCCTCCCCTGCCCGGAGCGCCTGGCACCACGCCGGCCGTGCCGGGGGACGGGCTGTATCCCAAACACGAGGGACGTTTTGAGAGGAGTCGTAGCGAGCCACAAGAGCTCGGGTGCCCTCCCCCCTTCAAAAGAAAAAAGTCATTTGTGATTGGCTTGATTAAAATGAAGCCTGATCTGTCCTTTTTTTTTTTGTTGTTGTTTGTTTCTTACACTTCATAAATGTTCATTTTAAGTTGAATTTGTAGCTTGGACTTTAAGGTAGCATGGCTCTCTTTGCTGTAAGTTTATTTTTCCATTGTACAGCAGCGTACCGCTGGTGAATGTTACACATCTTGCTAGGCTAGTTAAACCATTGGGTAATTGTTGGTAATAACGACCTGAAAGGTGTTCGGATTTCTTTTCTTCCCTGCTCTGAAGCCCAGGATGCTGTTTTCATCTGTAGTGTGAATGAGGGCTAGCGACTCCAGCCACAGTTACCTTCCTGTTTCGTTTCTGCCATTCACTCAATGCAACATAATCAATAATAAAGCAATATAGTTTACTACATTTTTACTGAAGGCCAGCCATGGTTATGTATGATATTGCATATGAAACTGTTTACAAAAAAAAAAAAACACCAACACTAACTCATAGCTGTCTTTTATGCTATGGAAATGTCTTTTGGGTGGAATTTTCTGAATTTTTTTTTTTTTTTAGTGGTTTGGTTTGTTTTTTTAAGCGAAATAGTTCGAACAGAAAACTGAAGTTAGTGTAAGGTGAAGAGACAGGATGCATCGAAGACACACCGGCAGATCCCGGTCTGCGCACAGACACTGTAGAGTTTCATACGTACAGAATCCAAGTCAAACCCATTGCCGTGTGCGAACACTACGTGAGGAGATTCTGTAAGCTAAGCAATACTTTAATACTGTAATAAAAATTACCAAAAAAAAAAAAAAATAGTTTGAGAAAGTAAATCCTCATGATCGGTTCTCGGTTCCCAAACAGTCCGACTGTGTTGTCTCGAGAGAGCTCCGTGTCCGAGCAGGGTGAGGCCCCGGCAGCCTGGGGGGAAGCGGGACTCGCCCGTGCGCCCGGCTCTCTGTTCTGTACATACTCGTAACACCACGCGTGGGCTCGTGTGTCGCGTCGACCGTCGTAGGTAGCAAATCCCGTCATTCTCTGTTGTACGAGGTCTGAACTCCATCAGTACTAGGATGCAAGTCTAAGCATTTCAGGTGGTCATAAATGTACCTAAATAAACTATGGCACAGTGGCAGGCCTAGCCCTTCCTTTTATACTTTAGTATGAACTGATGAGAACTTTGGTAGTGACTTTTTTTTTATATATATACATATATATATGTATCTATATATATCAAGCATCTTTCAGGTCTCTGTGTATGGCTTTCTAAAGCCCTGTTGTAAAATACTATGTGGATGGGGGTCTCTCACATCACAGATGTGGAAAGTATAATTTTATATTTGTATTTTCAAATAAATAAGTTTGTGAAAGGTTTCCATCCTCTACTGTGGTCCAGAAATCAATGTGTTTGTCTGACGAAAAAATACAATAA